TCATTTCATCTTGGAACCAAAAGCCCTGTAAACTGCTGCCCTCCATATAAGACACACGGTAGGCACAGCTGCAGCGCAGCAGAATCAAAAAAAGGAAGAGCAGTATTGGCGCAACGAAGAAAAACCAACGACAACTGTGACACGAAACCGAGACATCTTCACAAAAAGCACTTAAGCCTGCTTACACTTCGAACCAAGCTCTCAGAGAAGATCACCACACGATGAATAGAAAACAAAACACTAAAGCCTGCTTGCACTTCGAACCAAGCTCCCAGAAACACTTTACGTGTCTGGGTCTTGCATCACGCGTACAACAGGTGGTGTGACAAATATTTTGGTAATTTTGCGTACAGCTGCATGTATGCATTTATGCATAAGAAAGGGTTTATTTTCCCAATAAGGGGGAATGCGTGAATATGTACGTCCTGCATGGGGACATATCATGTGTAGCTGTTCATGTGTCTAACTACATGTAATTCATGAGAGTGTGTATTCATTCCTATATGTTCCTGCATAGACCTGCATACATTCTTTTCAGCATTTGCCTGCTTATGTGTGCGAGCACAAATATGTATAAAGAAGCTGTTTTCTGTTTCTGCTTTGAAACACAGTCGTGTGTGCACACATGCGCGAATACATAAATAAACATGCTTATCTTAGAAAGCTGCAGGCAAGTAAATGTACGATTGTTCACTTGAACTTACTGTTTGTGGTGAATATCACAGAAAGAACAACCCCGACTGCACGGGGTGTATGCGCAGGAGGGACTCTTGTGACAGCTGAACGGTTCATCAATGTGTTTCCCGCAAGACCTGAAAATTAATCAAAAAGTAATGTACTACTGAGGATAGGAGCCTGTGCTAAAGCCTAAAATGGGGAAGATAAGCAAAAACATAAGCACCGATAGCAGTAACGATTGCGAAAGCAGCAAAGGCAAGAAAAGCAGCAGCAACAGCATTAGCATTTATAGAATTCTCCTTTATGTTCGTGAAAACAACAGTGACTGTGGCAAGGCTGCAGCAAAAGCGATAGCAGAAGTAGCTACAGCCATAGCAACAACTGTCAAATGCGGACTTCAGTTCAGCGCCTTAGTTAATTTAGTTCGAAGTAGCACAACGCTTGCAGGCACTTCGGTGTGACACATCTACTCAAAAAATTGAAATGTAGAATATACACTCAAATTTTAGTCCCGAGACGCAGAGACAGGACATACTTGCAGTGCTCGCACGGGAAAGCCATTACAGAACTACCAGTGTCCAAAATAAGGCTTTGCCTTTGTGGGGATCCGCTGCCAACAAACAGATCTGCGGCAGCAAAAACAGCATAATTAGCAGCTACAGCACCCATATACGCAAAGAACAGCCCTGGCAGCAGGCAACTAACCAAATGCGACGCAGGAAAGCAGGTAGAAACCAGCGCAAGCAGCAGTAGTAGCAGCAGCAACAGAAACTGCAGCAACACCTTGTGCAGAAGCTAAAGCTTTAATGCGATACTGCCGTAGTCGCAGCAACAGATGCAGCAGCAGCAACAGCGCCGACTGCACTGTAGAGCACTTCAGCAGCATAAACAGGTGCTGCTGTTGCTCTGGAGCCAACTGCAACTGCATTCGCAATGGCTTATTCCAAATGACATGCATGCTACAAGTTCTGAAGTTGCCACAGTTGCCGTCGCAGCAACTGCACAGGTACGTGAAAGCGTGCCTGTTAGAAAAACCTTCAGCTTGGCAGCAACAGCAGCAACAGCAACATCAAAACTGGTATATGACGGCGTACCTGCAAAGTAGTAGGCAGTCTGGTGAATGTTTCCAAAGGCCAAGGTACGCAACGGTCGGACAGGCCGAGGGGCAACTTGGCCGTTGATATGAGGGTCAGGAACCTCCCCGGGTTGTCTTCTGTCGGCTGTCTTCATCCCATCTGCCGCTGCTGCTGCCGCTGCTGCTGCTGCTGCTGCTGCTGCTGAAGTATTGCCTAGTGATGCTGTTGCCTCTGGCTCTGCATTGGCGGGAGCTGATGTAGAAGGAGGTGGAGGGCGTCTGAGTGCGTCGCTAATTCTCTTGTTGGAGCCACCCACGTTCTTTTGCAAATTCTGCTCCTGTTGCTTCTCATCGCTTGCTGCAGCGGCTGCTGCTGTCTCATCCTGATTTCTAGGCTGAGGAGTTGAGAAAGCAGTAGCAGGGAGCTGCTGGGCTGCCTGCAAGTCCGCATACACCGCAACTGACAAGAGTGAGGCCAAGTTGGCAGTGTCGAACGCACCATCGATTTGCTTCTCTAGTCTCAGCAGTGGTGAGAGCAGGTGCTCATTCTGGTGGTGGTGCTGCTGCTGCTGCTGCTGCGGCGGCGGCGGCGGCTGAGGCTCTGCAGCAGCTCCTAAGCACAGGAGGCAGCAAGTAAGAGTTAGGAGGGCGGGCTGTATTTTTATTGCACTCATTTTTGCTAGAAAAAATGAGCTGAAGAGAACGGGAAACCAAGAGGGGCCGCCGCTGCTGCTGCTTTCCCTGCACTTGCTGCTGTCAGGAGACCACATTGGGGGCATACAGTAGAGGAGGGGGAATTGAAGCAGCTGCCACAAGAGCAGGCACTGCACGGAGGTATAGTGAGGAGACCGTTGAAGTCTCGTAAGGGAGACAAGAAACCACCGGAAGGTTAATGCGAGCCCAAGAGACAGAAGCTGAAAGGACTTTTCGGTTCACGTCGCTTCGCCCCAGAGGTGTTAGGCCTTGGATGTTGCGGCGGCTAATAGAGCACGGGTACTCCGTGCATACATTTTAGATTTTTCCACAGAAAATCAAGCAACAAAGAACAGCTTGAGAAGTCAACCACATGTGCTAAACCTACTGAACCCGTAGCCGTCGGCCGTGTAGTGGGCTCCCCGTGTGCACAAGAGCACAACTAGACCGAAATAAAGGCAGGAAACATAATAAGCAAATTTGGCTCCCTTCAGAGGCTGCTGATAAGAGAAAAAGGCGAAGAGCACTTCTTGAGATAGGCCGCACCGTCGGCGGGTCTGTTCGGTGCCGCCAGAGGGTGAAATTAGGCTATAAAAAGATTGATTTTGGATTTATGTGACAAAAAAAAGAGACGAAATAGGCGTTTATCTGCAGCCATACCCCAAACGGCAACAACCATAACCAGCAATGCAGCGGTCGGCGGCAGCCGCCTGCGAGCAGCAGTGGACCTGCCAGCCCGGTTCCTCGCTAAACAAAGCTTCGGAAAAGAAGGTTAAGCTGAATAAGTATCAACAATTTTTAGTGAAGAAAAACCCTCAAAACATAGTATTTTGCATCAAAGGAGCGCCCATTCTTGTGTGGGCCCTCTGCACTGTCCGGGAAGCCTAGCGTGTTCTGAGCAGCACGCGTTCGCTGGTCGGTACGGCAGCAAATACGCAAAAACCAGGCCGATTGGCAATAAATTGACTCATGTTTGTCGATAAAATGAGTGTTAAATAATTAGCAGCGTTTTCACAGTCTAATTGAGCTAGAAAAGAAATCCTGTTTCACGGATTCCTGCCTTTAGTTATCCCTCCAGCCAAAGTTCGGGTATAGTGGTGGTCAAAGATTGGAGCGACGACCAGAAGTCTACAAACACCTGAAATACGAGTTGCATACGAGTATATTTAGGCTTTTGCTCTGTTTCAAGCAATTTTATAGTGATTCTTTGCGGTCTCGTGGGGCCTCAGTAAGTGGTCAGGAAAGCATGGCCCAAACGGCCGGCCAGTAGAGCCGCATTCCAAAAACTAGCTATTACGTGTGTGAATGGAAATATGCGCAGTTTTGAAGTAGCTTATATTGAATGGAGCTTTTTGTGTTCTTATTCTGAAGAATAGAAGAATTATTTTAGAGCAGCATCAGCTGGCGTACGGTCAGCCAGGCACACAGGTGAGGTGACCTGGCAGTGATAGGTCTTCCTCCCTCACATGAGCCGCTGCTGCTGCGCCCTCGACCACTATAAACGCATTTATAAGATATATAATAAAAGATACTCATGGAGAGTTTTTATCAAATGGATTCTTGAAAGTTTCTTACGCGGCTCTCAGTCTCACAGACAAGCCGTCGCCCCCCTTCCTGTCCTGCTCCCTAGCGGGACTCGTTGGTTTGGTTTGGTTTGTTTCCTTCTTTCTCCTTTCTATCTTGTGTTTGTTCCTCTTCTTTGCTTTTTTCTCTACCTTTGCCTCCTCAAATTGGGCTCAGCAGAACCTGGCGTGCCGTGACAATAAGCGCAGTACACATCACGCGGTGGCCCTTCAAAAGGGTGTAGTTATCTGCATGTTTACACGCTTCCAACTTCCACGCATTTATTGTTGTGGGTTTTCACTCATCTACTCACACGTATTCATACGTACTCTAGTGGACCTCATTCATCGTCTGACAATCAGAGCTCAGGAGCTCTACTTCTGGTGACTCCAGACAAAGCACACCTTCTCCATTTCCTTCCCAACTTTCCCCATCCAAACAAATACGTCCTCTCTCAAGTTCACTTGCTACCGAGTGTTCAAACGGGGACAGAGGCAGCAGGAAAAGCAGACGCAGCAGACACAACAACAACGACAGTAGGAACACCAGCAGCAAGCGCAGCAACAAACGCAGCAGCAACAGCAGCAACAGCAGCAGCAAGAGGAACAACATACGGGATTCTAGACCAAAGGACGGCAGCGGTACAGCCGCGTTGTTTGTACAGTTTTGTTTTTTCTCCTCCATTAAATCGACCAAATTTATTGGTTATTTACCGCACGCTGCGAAGAACGCAGAGTGCAGTTGGCCCCCAAAGCAGGCGTTCCTTTTCGTTGGCGCAGTCTGAGGTGGACGCACGCCTCAGCGCTTGTACTTCAGGGTTTTACACAGAGGGTGGCATTCAATTATTATCTCGCAAGGGCGTATAAAAACGCTATACGTACCTCGGTAGGTATCTGAATAAGACTGCAGCACACTGTCCAAATACGAAGAGCAGCAGAGGCAAGGGCAGCGGCAGAAGCGCGTGCAGCAAACCAAAAGAAAGCTTCTCAGGATGGAGCCTGCTGGAGGATCTGTGAAGCAACAGGAGCGGCGGCAGCAGCTGCAAACAACGGCAGCGGCGAAGGCGGAAAGTGCAGCCATAGGAGGCGCCTTGACACAGCCGATTCAAGTGGCTAAAGAACAACAACAGCAGGAACAAGAAAAGCAGCAGCAGCAGCAGCAACAACAGGAAAACCAACAGGAGAGCTCAACTAAGAGCAGCAACAGCACCACTGCTGCCTCTCCAAGCAACAATTCCACCAAGGGCCACCAGCAGCAGCAAAAGCAGCAACAGCAGCAGCAGCAGACCAAATGCAATGGATTAACGCCGCTGGATTCGCCTCAAAAGGATGGCAGAGGAGAAGATGTGGCCAAAGGGCAGGCGCTTCCAAATGCAACCAATGACAAGGCACTTGCTGCAGCCGCAACGGCCGTAGCAGCAGCATCTGCCGCTGCTTCTCTCTTTGATACTAGTGATACAGCTATAACGAAAAGCTTGACCGCCTCAGTAGCCGCTGGCGAGACATCTGATAACAAAACCACAAGGAAGGTGGCTGCTGCTGCAGCAGGAGCGACGCCAGCGTCAGGGAAGTCCTCTGCCTCGAGAGGCAAAACCCCCGCCTCGAAGGCCAACAAGAGCAATAGTATCAACAACAGCAGCAACAGCAACAGCAGCAATATCAGTGGCAGTGGGTCCAACGCCTCCTCAGGGGAGGAGCCCACGGCGCAGGACCACACGCAGCAGAATAAACAGCAGCAGAGCAGCAACAACAGCAACATACAACTACCGCTCACCATAAGCGCCGCAGCCAAAAAGGTTGGAGATATTTCAGCGAGCTCCTTGCCGGACTTCAGTGAAGCCATTAATAAAATTGGGGGGCCCGCAAATAGCAGCAGCAGCAGTAACAACGAACTCAGCAATCTGGGCAGGTGGGGCGGCGGCGACTCAGAAAAGGCAGGATTTATGTTGCAGAGCTACTGCTCTGCGCCTGCTTCTCTCTCATTTGACATGCAGCAACAGCAGCAGGAACCCCTGCAGCAACGAGCCAACCTTGCTGCAGCAGCAGCCGTGTTGGCGCAGCCCGAAGCGAGACCCCTCACCCTGACTCGATTTGAAATGTTGGAAGCTTATTCCAAAGGTAAAGATGCAAAGGCCACTAGCTTTGCCCCTGCTTTAGCTACAGCAGTTATTCATGCTGGTGTTGCTCCCGACGCGTTTGTTGCAGCTTTCATTTTTGCTGCAAAAGCTGCTGTTGCTGTTGCCGCCACGGCTTATGCAGCTGCAGCTTTCGATGCTGCTGCTGTTGATGCTGCACCTGCACTCAGCCAAAAGCCTCGTTAGCTGTGAACAAGCTGCTGCTGTGGGTGCAAGCGCAGGTCGTCTTTGCCTGAGCTGCGACTCCCGCAGCCACCGCATGCCCAGCTGTCCTCACGGAGAGTTTGTCTGTCCGAATTGCCACAGAGCTTCGCACAGGTGCAGCAGCAACCAGCGACCCCCCCGGCACACACAGTAGTGTGCATCAGGTGGAGGAGCACGAGATTCTGAAAAGCATGCTAGAAGTGCCCATCAGACTTAACACGGAAGCAATAGTGGCGGCGAATGCTGCAGTTGTTGCATTTTGTCAAATGTACATTCTTTTGATGCTTATCTGCCGAATTATCGGTGCACACAGTGGTGGCTCTGTTGCTGATGGTATTTAATGCAGCTTTCGCCTTTCTCCTTCAACTGCTGCAGGGGAGAGGATTGTCCGTTGCGGTGCCGTTTTTGTCTGAAGCATCACCCAGGAGTTTCCATAACCGTCTGTATAAAGGTTTGTGTTTGAGCTTTGAAAATAAGACCCGTGCACTTTACAGCTAGCTGCAGCTGTCTGCAACTTTTTAGAGTGCTGCTGCAGCTGCAGCTACTGCTGTTGCTGCTGCCGCTGTTTCTTGTGCTGCAATGTCACAGTTTATCTCCGTCGCTGGCGTCCCTGTCGTGTGGTTCAAGCTGCCGATCACTTGCACTACGTGTCTTTGTTGTCCGTGCTGCTGCTGCGAGGGCATTTAGATTTATTCAAAGAAGAAATTCACTCACTTCCACAAACCCATTGTGCATGCGTCTGAAATTCATTTCTGGGTCTTTCTGCTGCTTTTGAACTATTTTCTTGCGCATTTCTGCGCGCTGTCTGCAGGGCTGTCGCGAGCCCCTGGAGCGCTCACTGTCTCTCTCTTTGCCCCTACGGGAACGGACGCCCTCAGGTGGTTTGGGTGGAGGGCCTCGTGGAGGCCCCCACGAAGAAATGAGTCGGCCAGACTCTGCGTTCGGTAGAAGCATATATGTCTCTAACCTTCCCCTTGCGTGCAATGCGCAGCTACTCAGTGCTGCAATTCAGAGGCTTTTAACAAGAGGCACTGTTGAAAATGTGAGCATTCGTCCGGAGTTGCTGATGCCATCTTCTGTTCCTGTTTCTATTTATCTACGATTAGTGCTAATTTGCTATTTTCGCTCATTTGCTCCGCTGCAGCTGGGGGCGTAAGTGCCCCAGTTTAACTGCTGTTTGCTGCTTCTATCGTTGTTATGGCTGCTGCTTGTGCGATTTCTGCTGCTCCTGGTGCTTTAGGTGGAGTACCACGATAAGCATGCCTTCGTGCAGTTGAGTACTTTGGATGCAGCCTTTGAGGTGGTGGAGAAACGCCGACTTCTGCAGGTGACCCTGTGCTCCTGCTGCTGCTTCTGCCGTCGGTGCTGCTGTTCGGTAGTTGCGGGCTAAGGTCATTTTGTGCGGCAGGTGCTAGGGCTATCCATGAATGGAGCCAAAAAGAAGCGGTAGCAGCAGTGTCAGCAGCAGCGTTCGACAGTAGCAGCAACGAGGCAGCAATTGCTTTTTCTGCGGCTGCGCTTGCCTGTTCCGCAACAGCAACAAAAATGCCTCATGGTGCTGGGCTAGTTCGTCTTTGTGTTATTAGTTTTCTGGCGATGGTGTTGCACTCGTTGCTGCTGTTGCTCTTGGTGGTGTTGCTGCTGCGGCGGCGGCTGCTTCATTTTCTGCCAGCCTTTCCGCTCGAGTTGCTGCTTTTCTGCTTCAATTTGTGACTTCGCTTTCACTCCCTCTCGGCAACTAGCATTGGCCCTGCTGCAGTTGTGTTGCTGCAATCCTGCTGGTTCTTTTGCGTCTACCTCTGTTGCTGCTCTTGGCTGTTGCTGTTGCTTTTGCTGCTGCTGCAGGTGATGGGGTTTACTTTAAAGGTGCAGTTTAAGAAGACCGGTTTGATGTCTGGCGCGAGCGCCCCCAGCCACAGTAGCAGTTTCAGTGGAAGTTTGCCCTCTTCATCCTTATCTCACCCGTATCTCCCCAGCCTCAGTTGCCCTGCAGCTCTTAGCTGCTCTCCACAGTCAAGCGGGGCAGCAACCGCAACAGCACTAGCAGCAACAGCAGCAAACACACCAGGTGCAGAAACACGAGGTAGTGCTCCCAACTACCCTACCTTCAACACGGAGCCCATATCGCCTGCTTCCTTTGAGGCTTTCGTCGCTCCCCCCTCCCAGCCCTCTCTCGATGAGCTGCAGCAGCTCGTTGCTGCTAAACTCAAACAAGTTAGCTACTGGTGCTGCTGCTGTCGTTGCGGTGGAAGTTCTCAAAACTTCCTTTTTGGCTGGAAGGGCAAGGAGATTCTGCAGACATTGACGCTGCTTCTGGTGCATTGTGCTGCTGATTTGGCCGCAGGATTTGAGGGCGGGCCGCGTGTCTGCTCAGCCTTCTAACCCCCCCCAACAGCAGCAGCAAAGCCTTCGCCGTCTCCCAACGCAAAAAGGAGGGAGCGGGACTCTGCAAGCGTTACATCAGCAGCTGGGCGGTGCAGCAGCAGCTGCCTCCACTGCTGGCAGTGGCAATCAGCTGGGACCACTGGGCATGCTGTGTTCTCTAATGCAGCAGCAACAGCAACAGCAGCAACAGAAGCAGAAGGAATCGAGTTGGCTAGAAACGCCTGCAACGCTACCCGATTCAACCAGCTGGATGCTCCAACAGCAAGAGACTGCCGCTGCTTTCCAACAGATGAAACTACAGCAGCACCCCACAATGCCGCAGCAGCAGCAGCAGCGCTCCACACAGCAGCAGCAGCAGCAAATGCATGTGTTGCCGCAGCAACAGCAGCAGCAGGGGGCCGACCCGAGGGGTTCACAGCTTATGCAGCAACGGTTCCAGCTAGCCAGCCTTTTGCTGCAAGAGGCAGCAAACATGCAGCAGCAGCAACAGCAAGAAGATCAGCAGCAGATGCACATGCTGCCGCTAGAGCAGCAGCAGTTCTTGCAGCAGGAACAGCTAAAGCAAGACAGACAGCGCCGGCAACAACTCGACGCCTCATTTCTTCTTGCGTCTCCTGAGAGTCAGCAGCTCATGCTGAGGCAGCAGCAGCACAGAGCCAGCTGGGGCTGCGCCGGCGCTGAACAGCAGCAGCAACAGCAGCAACGGCAGCAGGGCTTCATGAGTGCTGGCGAAGACAACGAAACAGCGGAGAACCAGCAAGATAGAGTAGTGGGGGTGGGAGTAGCAAACCCTAAACCCTGGGCTTAGGCTTAAAAGCCTCACCGCTGCAGCCTGATTCCTAACTGCAGCAAAGCTCAGCACTCAAAAGCCTGAATCAGTGTGCCCCTAAATCTCGTACACCAAACTTGAGAGCTATGCTTCAAACCTACAGCCGTAAAGCGTTAGCAGCTCTTAACTCTTGAAGTTGAGCCGTCAGTCATACTCGATAAGTGAGGCGTGCAGAAACCTGCTTGGTTCTGTGATCTTTTTCTCTCTGTGCCACTTTCTATTCCTTCAGCCTTCTTCTCAGGGCTCATTTGTGGACTTTCTGGTCAACCCAGCTACTCACCGCTTCTCGGGCCTTGACAGCAGCAGCAGCAGCAGCACCAACAACAATGCACTGTCGTTTCTTACTCAAGCAGACCATGGAGAAATGTTGGCGCCAAATACTAATTCTTCACTAGCTGCGAAAACGCCGCAGAAAACTGAAGGGCCTCTGGGGGGAACCCAGTCCAGCTCCGACCTGCTGGAATTCGCAACAGCACTGGTGCAGCAGGCACTGGGAGACGGTGCAGGAGGCCAGCAGAAGCAGCAGCAAGTGCACCAGCACCCAGTGCAGCAGCAGGCACAGCAGCAGCAGCAGATGCAGCAGCCATCTACGCTTCGAACCACTCCACAGGTACAGAGAAACACTTCACGAGAAAATAGGGATCCACCAGTGTCTTACCTGCGGCGTCTTCACAGCAGTCTTGTCTTGTGTTTCCCGTTGCAGCTGCTGTGCCCTCCGGCTGCTTCCGCTAACAACGACAACACAACGGAGCTCCTCCAGCAGCTTCTTCTGCTGCTATCTGAGAAGACCGGAGGAGGAGCCGCAGCGGCAGCTGCAGCTGGAGCAGCAGCAACAGCGGCAACCGCAGCTACCGAAAAAGCACACAACGCCGGCTTGATGGCCAGCGTGCCATTCTACTGAAGAGGCTTTTCTTGGAAAACTAGCAGCAATATCAGCATCAATGTTTGGAAGAAGGGGCATCAGCAGCTTTAGCAACAGTGGCAACTGCAGCAATTGGAATGGCAGCTGCATCAGAAGCTGCAGAAGTAGCGGCAGCAAGTCTGTCATTGCATAATGCCCTAACCATTGTTGTAAAGGGGTTCATTTCGTTCGCGTTTTTGTTGTTTCATTTGATAGGTGATCTGTTGAGTTTCATGCTGCAGGAAATTAGGTGTACGCACACCTCAGTCGCCCTTCCTGGAGCCTCCAGTTTTCTGTTTGGTCTTTCTATGGCTCTTTTGTAAATCTGTTTGTAAAGGTGCTGGTAACCGGATATTTAATACATCGATATATGTATACATCTGTACAGGCATGCATTTACACATACACATATGATATATACATAAAAGTGTATGCATGAATACTTCGCATAAGTAGATGGACAGATATATGACCATCCATGTATACAGTGTACTTGTAGGTGTGTGCGTACATCGTTTCACAACGAAGCTCCATATTACACCATACATCCAGTAAAAAACTCTGTGCATATTCACCAACAAAGAGTTGCATTTACGTTTACATACATTTGCACATATATATGCGTGCATTCAGCTGCTAATACGTGAATGCGTATATGTGCGTGTTCGAGTCCCCACACATGCAAATGTTTCCATGTGCAAGCAACTGGACGCTCAAAGCCCCTAACTGCCTAAAATTAACAAAGAGCCTACTTTATTTGCACATGTAGTATGGCAATGCTATGCAAGGCATTTTAGCTCCGGAGCCACCTCTTGCCGCTACTCAGGAAGCCACGCATAATCTCAACGCCAACTACTTCCTGTTTGTAGGGGGAAGCAGCAACAAGAGTAGCATCAGCAGTACGGGAAAGCTGCAGCAACTAAGATTACTTCCTCCGATAGTGGTGCGTTTTGTGACCCGTTTAGTCCTGAGTGAGCATATAGAGTAGAAGAAGGGCAACAGTACAAAACGTAGAACGTAGCATAGAAAAAGTGCAAAGACGAACTCGCGATGGAGGGCAGAGAAGAAAAGAGAAAACGTATAGACAGTCTTAGCGAGAGGAAACCGAATGTTCACAATAAACGCGAAGGGTTTTCGGTGAAGGAAGAAACTGAACTGAACCACAACGCATATCAAGGGAAAGGCACGGATGCGGACAGAGGAGTGAGAGGCATGGAGAGGAAACAAGGAAAATGATATAGCCGCAGAAAAAGTGAAGACAGACAGACGAGGACTTCGAATCCAATCGACGAATGGCGCAAAGATACAAAACTTCCAGCTGCAAATTCGTACCTGCACTGCTTGCATGCGCTGCGCTATCACAGTGCAAGCGTTGATCTTCTTCATGCGGCGACTTGTCTAGCGTAAACTCCGCACTAAATGCATATTTTAGTTCTACACGCATCAGATCCACTCAGTATGTCATCTTCATCTCATTACGTACATCAAACTCGTAAATATGTTGGTTGCATGCCCATTCTTGGCGGTTTTCATGCAGGTTTGTTCGTGTAAAAATGCATAACGGGCTCAAACAGCTGTCTGGCCCTTCGCATTGCACGCTTCAGGTCACTTTGGGACAGGGATTTACTCTCAACAACCCACTGTTCCTGCCGCTGACTCCTGCTGCTGTGGTCTCGGATAGATAGGACCTGATCCGCTAGCAGCACCTAGATCGGCACCGCAACAGCAACGGATGCAGCAGCAGCGGTCACTTAGCTGCACAATTAGCCTCCTGCTCCCAGCTCTGCAGCGGAGTGTGCAATGGAAAAGCTGCTCATGCAGCTACTGCAGTAGCAGCAGCAGCACGACGGCAGCGCTTTATGAACATAACCTGGACCAAGAGCAAAAAGAGTGCGACAATGAAGGCAACAAAAGCACCAACAGCATCAAGGCGAGATGACTGAAGAAAACTAGAGGCATCTTTGGTCTTAAAAAGCCTCAAAACGAAGGAGCTAAAAGGAGGCCTTTCCGAGGCCGCCCGACAAAGACAACAGACAGATGCACAGTTGCATCTTTCTCTTGTCCCTGCGAGGAGTAGAGAATAAGAAAAAGTTTCAAGCACCCAACGCAAGCCCGCACGCACTGCATGCAAGTCGCAAATGCATGTGTGCCCCGAAACAAGCAGCGGGCACACACGGCGAAGGCGCTAGGTGAGCTCAGCTGCGCTGTACGGACGCTTCAACTTGTTACCTAGCCCTGCCTTACACCACAGCCTGCTTTTATCACTTGTGGCAGACCACAAGTAACAAGTAAGATGAAACAACAGGTGAGGAGACACCAAGGGGACCAGCGGATCGCCTACACACCCCACACCCACTCTTTCTTCCGTCGCACGGTGCGCTTGCTGCTGCTACTAGTCCTGTTGTTTCTGCTGCTAGCCTTGCTGGAACAGTCCTGGACCTGTCGCTGGGAAAGACGACCCTGCCGTCTTTCCTCTTGGCCCCAGCTTGATAACATATGAGCAGCAGTCCACCGAAGCAGCAGCACAAGCACTGCGCGCAAGCGTGTGATGCATGCCACAGGGTTGCGACGATTGCCAAGAAGCCAAAACAGTAGCACTGGGACAGCTGAAGCTGCATGCATGCATTCCCAAAAAGCACGAGATACACGCGCCCCAAAGGGGCATGCATGCAACAATGCATGCAGGCGCATGCAGCACCGAAACACTTGCCAAAAGCAGCATGCGACCCCACAGGAATACGCAGGGAGTAAATGTATGCATTGAACGTACCAACGACGGCAGAAAGGACTGAAGACAGTCCTCGGTTGCATGCAAAGCCACATGCAGCCTTGGAAAGCATGCACGAGTCGCACACAATGGAGCGAACAAGGGTAAGGACTACAGATAAATTTGCCAGGGGCAGAGAAGACACAAACAGCAGCTGTTGTCATTTCTGCTGCTGCTGCACGCTGCCGGCATCCGTCCCCCTTCTGTTACAGTAGGCAGATGCTGAAACGAGGCAACGCCTCCTGCAAGGGGCCCCCATCTTTGCTGCACGTGCAGAAACCTGAAAAAAATAGGCAGACGACGCAACGCCTGCTGCTACTGCTCCTACTGCCGCCTTCCTTAATGCTGTTCCTGCGGCCGCTAGGCTCCCGCTGCAGCAAAGGGGAGGCACCACCAAACAGGCAGCAAAATGCACGCGGCTGTGGTCCGGCCTCCCTCCTGTAGGCAGCAGCAGCGGCACCAACAGCTGCTGCTGCTTCTGCTGCGGTGCCACCAATGAAAGGTGGTGCATTAGCCGGAAACGACGCTAAGACGGACAGCAGCAACAGTTGAAACTGCTGCTGCTGTCGTGCAGTATATGCACAGAACCCAGGAGAAAGAACAATGTTTTTCTGCTACTCCACAGGCTGTCAAGTGGCAGCAGCAAACCGTCTGCATGCTCTGTAGCCTTAGGAGGTCCTGCAATATGCTAAAGCCAGATCCGTATTCGAACATGGGATCACTAACCCCAAAGACATGAAAAGGGAGAAAAAAGGAAGAACGAGACAGAAAACACTAAGACTCGAAGGCAGCGTCAGCTTCTGGAACAGAGTGACACAAGCCGACACAGACAACGGCTGACGCTGCTGCGGCTGCAGCGCCCTCAGCTGCTGCTGCTGGAGCACTCGCTGCTCAGAACCCCTCAGCATGCAGAAAACCAGAGGTCTGCAGCAGCCCAAATTTGCTCCTTGTCACAGCCAGCCCCTCAAAGACGGGCGGGAACACGCAGTTGTCTGCTACACATATGCACCACACACAGCGCTGCAAAAACCCATTTGCTGCACGCAGCCGCAGCAGCAGATTGCAGCAGCAGACAGCAGCAACACGGCGAGAAGCCGCCACTTGGAGTAATTACTTAGGAAAGTGGCATGCTGCAGCATAATGTGCAACAGCAAAAAGCAACAGGCAACAAGCGAAAGCAGCAACTGCAGCAGACAGAACAGCGGCGGAGAAAAACTTACCTCATTTGAAGCTTCTGTAGGGCGTCCAAGCAAGTTTGTGCCATTTCGAGCCGACAATGTACTGAAGTTGCTGCTGCTGCTGCCGCCATTGCTGTTGCTGCTATTGCTGCCCCGGGCAACGCGGTTGCCCCGCTGCAGCGTTATAGCTCGTATAGACTTGGAAGTTCCCTTGCCGACTGGCGGCATGTCTGCTGCAGATGCAGCAGGCGAAAGGGTGGAAGCTTCAGCATCTGTCATGCGATTGCGGTGGTCACTGCTGTTGCTGTTGCTGCTGCTGCCAGACAGCTGCTGCATTGCAGCGGACGCGGCGGATGCGTCGATATTCTGGCTGGAGCCGCCGCAGAAATTGCTGCACCTATTTCTAGTGGAATCAAAATCTGAAGAAAGTCCAGCAGTGTTGCTGCTGGCGCTGCTGCTGCGAGGTGCCTCTTCTTTTAGCCGCAGTTCGGCCCTGAGGGCTTCGATTTCTCTCTTCATGCGGATTAGCTGCTGCAGCATCCACTGGTCGCCCTGCTGCTGCTGCTGGAGCTGCTGTTGCAGCTGTTGCTGCAGTTGTTGCTGCAGCAACTGCTGCTTGCCTGGCAACTGGCACGAGAAACTAGAAGACGAGCCCACAGAACATGTCGTCGAGGGAGTGGCGACCGCAGCAGCAAACCCGCGGGCTGCGTGCAGGGATGCCGCTGCTGCTGCAGCTGCTGGAGTACCAGCTGCTGCAGGAGGCATCGTCATAGGTCCAAGGGACATAGGGGTCTCCGGGAAGTCCATCAGAGATAGTGCGGAAATGTCGAAGCCGCTTGCAGGATCAAGCTCAAGCCGCTGCTGCTGCTGTTGTTGCAGCTGCTGGTGCTGCATCTGCTGGTGCTGCATCTGCTGCTGCATTTGCTGTTGAGGATCTATGAAGTTCCTTCGCACGCGCCTGACGGTGTTAGACTCAGCAGCAGCAGCAGGACCTTCAGAGCGGAGGAAACTCGATCCACCAGCAAAACTGTCGTAGCCAAAATGCTGCTGCTGCTGCCGGCGTCGCAGCTCTTCCAAAGGAACAAGAGGCGAAGGAGGCAGCTTCACCAAATCATCAGAATGGAGAGCAGACGGTACTCTAAGCGGCGACATTGCCATGGCTGCTGCTGCTGTTGCTGCTGCCGTTTCTGCTGCGCTGCTGCTGCCAATGGCCGCCGTGGGAATAGCAGGTAATGAACGCGTCGCAGCCGATTCGGCTGCAGCAGCATTTGCTGCTGCTGCCACTACTGCTGCTGCGCCCGCCTCGTTCCACTTTTTATGTCTTGTGGTGTTTGACGAAGGCAACCCCCCTAAATCTTCAGTAGGGGCTTGTAGCAACTTGCAACTGCTGCCGTTGCAGTTGCTGCTGCTGCAGCCGCCGCAGGCGCTGCTGCTGCTGCTACTGCTACTGCCGCAGCAGTTGTTGCTGCAACTGCCCCTGAAGGCCACTTCCGGTACTGATGTTGTACTAAGCCCTAGTGAATCATCTGCAGAGGGCGAGTAGACGGCGGGATGAGAGTGGTGCTGCTGCTGCTGCTGCTGCTGGCGCTGAGCGATATCCTGTGGGTGTTCAAGAGGCTGCTGCTCGGACAGCAACTCGTGCTGCACAGGACCCAACTGCTGCTGCTGCTGCTGCATCGGCAGTTCCGGCTCCTGCTGTGGTTCCTCGCTAGACAAAAAGTCCAGACTGTGGAGGTATGAACGCCCTGCTGCTGCTGCTGCTGCGGCTGTTGCCGTTGCTCCTGCAACAGCTGTGCTATGTACAACGGCTTCCTGTCCGCCCAGTGCATCGTGGCGCAGTTCATGCTGCTGCTGCTGTTGCTGCGACTGCTGCTGCTGGCGTTCAAGCTGCCGCCGCAGCCGCATCTCCATGATATTCTGTTGCTGCTGTTGCTGGTGGCCCTGTAGCAGTTGCTGGAGCTGCTCGAGCTGCCGATCACCAAACAGATCACTCTCCCGCAGATGCGCCAGTTGCTGCTGCTGTTCCTGCTGCTGCAACGACATCTCTTGCTGCGGCTGTCCCATCATCAGCTGTTGCCTCTCGCGGAGAAGGCTCTGCTGCAACAGATCGTGCTGCAGCATGTCGTGCTGCAGCACTTCTTGCTGCTGAGTCCCCTGAAGCAACAAGTCCTGGTGGTGCGCCCGCAGCAAGAGCTTGTCCTGTGAATGCTGTTCCTGCTGCTGCAGCTGCTGACCCTGCTGCTGCAGCAGCAACTCCGCAGAAAGAGCGCCCGAGTGTACTGAAGACGAAACAGACGACAGCACGCCCGAAGCTGCCACAGGCACAGTGCTACTGAGGCTGGCGGCGGAGCGGCTCACGGGCTCGAGCTGCTGCCGCTGCTGCTGCCTCTCCTGCTGCTGCTGCAAGTCTTCCATGGAGGCGAAGGCCCAAGTGTCTGAGACATGGGAGTAAAACTGAGCAGCTGTGGCTGCAGCAGCTGCCACTGCAGCATCGGAAGCGTTGCCCTGTTGCTGCAGCAGCGGGTGCTGCCGCGGGGCGTGCACCTGCTGCTGTTGTCTCAGCTGGTGCTGCTGCAGCTGCTGCTGCAGCATCATAAGTGCTAGCGATGGGTCTCTGGCGGCAGCAGCAAGCGCAGCCGCAGCAGCTGTAGCAGCCGGTACCTGTGCTTGTCCCCAGGACTGCTCACGGAGCGCCTCCTGCCTGCCGACTGCAGCAGCTGCTGCTGCATATACGTTATGCGCTGCTGCTGCATTGCCGCTGCTGCTGGCCTCGCTGGCGGCCTTGACGGCCGCAGCAGCATCTGCTGCTGCGGCTGCTGCTGCTGCAGCAGAAGGCGGACGCACCACCATTTCCTGCAGAGCTGGGGGAAGCAACTTCTCGTCCCCATTCTTCAGCTGAATGCGCAGCTTCTTGCCTGCTATGCATCTCTCAGACAAAGCCCTGTAAGCAGCAAAAGCTGCTTCTCTGTCATCAAAGGAAGCAAAGGCATAACCGCGGCCGTAGAGGCAGGCCTGGGCCAGCAGGGGGCTTTCGGAGCAGGCCACCAGCTGCCCCCTGGCGGCCCTGGCGGCGCTGCTGCTGCTGCTGCTGCTGCTGCTGGCTACGGCTGCTGCTGCTGCGCCCGCAGCAGCAGCAGCAGCAGCAGCAGCAGCAGCGTTCTTGTCAGACGCGCCGCAAGGCACTCGAATGCCTACGACGTGGCCAAAGGGGCCCACCAGCTTCATCAGCTCCAGCTCACGCCAGCCCGTGGGGATTCCGTATAAGAACAAGTTCGCCCCTGCACAAATGCAGATATAATATAAATTATATAAAGATATATCTATATATCAATATATTATATAGATATATTTTAATTTAATAATAATTCAATAATGCATACTTAGTTCAATAACTTAGACTCCACAGTTTGTTGCTGCTCTGCGGCCCCAAGATCACATCCCCCTGCAGCAGTCTCGAGCCCAGAAGCCCCCCACGCTGCGCGCTGCCCGCAGCAGCAGTTTGCAGCAGCAGTTCGTTGCAGCAGCAGTTTGCCGCAGCAGCAGCTTGCTGCAGCAGCTTGCTCGCCTGTGCCCCCTTGCAGCCTTTCAGGTGAAGCTAACCTGGGGGTCCGTCTTTGAGGAGAACAAAAGAAGTCTTTTTTGTTTGTTCTGCAACTGCAAGAGCATCAATAATATGAAATCCATTTTTTAAAATGACAAGTCCCTCCGTGTGGCCAGCTCTGGAGAGAGTGCGCAGCACGCGCTGGTGCTGCAGCAGCTGGTGCTGCTTCCGCTGCCGCGGCATCTGCAGCAGGCGCTGCTGCAGTTCCTGCTGCAGCGACAAATGAGGCGACCCAGCGCTGCAGCTGTCGCTGCTGCTGCTGCTGCTGGTCTTGCTTCTCTCCGCCTCCGCCGCTGCAGCAGCGCCACTAGGAGCGCCAGGCGCGACGGTGCCGCCGCTGCTACTCCCGCCAACCTTGCTGCTGCTGCTGCTGATGCTGTCGAGAGCTGGCAGCTCGCCATTAATGCAGAAGACTTCCATGCGAGTCAAAGGCAACCTCGTTAAAGGATAATCTGCGGCGTCTCGGCAAGCCACTAAGGCGTGGGCAGGCGAGCCCTGAGAAGCAGCAGCAGCGCAGCAGCAACAAAACAGAAGCATGCAGCAGCAGCAGCAGCAGCAGCTCGACGCAAACAGTCAGGAAGAAAACAAAGAGCTTCGAAAGTGCACACATGAAGGCAAACTTAGCGCAAGCTGCTGCAGCAGGAGCTCCCAAATCTAAAGAGCTGGAGGAAGCAAAAGAAATATTAACAAGAAAATTAAAAAAGAAAATGAAGCAGCAGCAAAATGCATCAGAGCCACAAAAGACGGAAGCCGTGGGCTGCAGCAAAAGTAAGAAAACGAGATTTTCATTTGTGGGGAAATTTGTGCCATTTACTGCCTCAGGCGAAATCTTGCTTTTCAAAACTCAATTCCTTCAAAAAGAATATAAAAAAGAGGCTTAAACAATTTAAAGTTTTGATTTGATTTCAAAATAGTCCCTCAATTTAGGAAAGCATGTTTGTACACGTGCTGCTGTACTTGACACATATTTGCACTCGTCACAACAGCAGCAAAAGCCAGCAGCAGCAGCAGCAGCAGCAGCAACAGCAGCAACAGCAGCAGCAGCAAAAAGCAAAACGTGTAACTAACGCTTAGACCAAAAGAAGGCCAGAGAGCAGCAAATAAAGCATCAAAAGAAGAGCAACACCACAAGAACCTTCAGGCCGCAAAAGCCGCAAAATCCGCAAGGCAGCAGCAGCAAAGCCAAAAACTTTAGCAGCAGCCGCCGCAGCAGCAGCAGCAACACACCGAAAAGAGCCTCCTGCCGTGGAAGTACACTGCTGCTTTGTCTGCTGCTTCTGCTGAGTCATAGTCTATAGAAGCACTGCCCCACATGCCGCGCTTGGGCTCGTAATCTATGTGGACTACTGCTGCTGCTGTTGCTGCTGCTGCTGCTGCTGTCAGCAGCGTGTGCTGCGTCACATTCGGGGGAATGTTCCCCACAAACACGCGGCCCCCTCGCCGCCGCTGCTGCTGCTGCTGCTGCTGGCCATCTTGGGGCAGAGCGACAGAGGACCCCGCCTGCTGCTGCTGCTGCTGCTGCTTCTGCTCGCCACCTTTCCCGACATTACGTGGAAGGCAGCTGACGGCACTGTTCTTCGCCGAAGCAGCAGCAGCAGCAGCAGAATTGACTGCTGCTGCTGCTACTGCTGCAGAAGTGGCAAAAGCGCCATCACCAAGTGCTTCCTGCTGCTGACCACCATTGTTGCTGCTCGTGCTGCTGCTGCTGCAGACAGCAGACACAGGCACAGTCGGGAGGCTCTTGCTGAGAAGCTGCTGCTGCCCCTTTGAATCGCTTCTTTGCTGCAGCAGCTGCAGAGAGCCGACGGTCGCCGGCTGCTTCAGTTGTTGCTGCTGCTGTTGCTGCTGCTGCTGCTGTTGCTGCTGTGATCGGTTCTTCCTGTTGGTGCGGTCTTTCTCCTTCTTCGGCATTACCCCACTGCTCGTTCCGGCTGCTGCTGCTGCTGCTGCTGCAACAGCAATGCCGGCTATAGCAGCTTCTGCGGCGGCGTCTGCAGCAGACACTACGGGAGCAGCAGCAGCAGCAACATCAGCAGCAGCAGCTTGGCTATCGTGCGTCTGGGGGAGTGAAACTACTGGCTGCCCCTTGCGCTGTTGCTTCGGGTCTTGTTGCTGGTGCTGTTGGTGCTGCTGCTGCTGTTGCTGTTGCGGTTGCTGTTGTTGTTGCTTTTGCTGCAGCTGCTGCTGCTGCTGCTGCTGCTTTTGTTGTTTCACGGTGGTCTGCTGGTGCTTGTGGGGGAATGGTGCGGACGATGACCCTTGCTGCTGCAGCTGCTGCTCCAGCTGCTGCTGCTGCTCCAATGGAGGCCCGAACTGCGATCCGCTGCTGCTGCTGCTGCTGGTGCTGGTGCTGCTGCTGTCGCTGCTGCGGGCCAAAACTGGCGCTGGCTCGGACGGCAGCAAAGGGAGATGCACCTCAGCAGCAGCAGCTGCTTCGGCCTCTGACTCTGCTGCTGCAGCTGCTGCAAGGGCTGCTGCAGCAGCAGCAGGAGCTGCCGCAGCGAGACTGCTGCTATCTGCTGCCTCCGGTGAGTGCGGTGCCATAGTAGAATGACATGAGAAGCAAGACAGCAACAGCTAGGGGGGCCTCAGCAGCAGCAGCAGCAGCAGCAAAGGCGGGCCTTAACTTAGGGTCCTCTCTTCTATTTGCTTCTTAATAGGAAACCCAGAAAAACAAAAAGAAACAAAACCCCCACGGGGGGGAAGTCTACTGCTAATACGTGAAAGGGGCTGCTGCTGCAGCTGCTGCGGCAGCTGCTGCTGCTGCTGCTGCTGCGCTGCTGCGACTACTGCTATTTCAGCCGATGCTCCAGCAGCTGCTCATTATACTGCTGCTGCTGCTGCCGCTGCTGCTGCTGCCTCAAACGAGACTTTCTTGCTGCGCTGCGCCTCTGCCTCGGCAACTGAGCCCTCTCTGGCGGTGCTGCTGTTAAAAAGCAAAACAATAACTTAGAAGGATAGCCGAAGCGCTGCTGCAGCAGATTTGTCCCCCCTGCAGCAGCCGCTGCTGGCGCTGCTGCTGCAGGCCTTGCCGCTGCTGCTGGTGCTGCTAGTGCTGCTGCTGCTCGAAGCCATTAAGTGGGACCGTGAGGCTACTCTGAGCCTCAATAATTCCCTGGGAGAACGGAAGGAAGGGCAGCACGCAGTCCTGCAGCAGCAGCCAGGGCTGCAACTGCTGCTCCCGGTGCAGCGGCAGCAGCAGCAGCAGCAGCAGCCCGTGAGGGGCCTTCTGAGGAAGCACAGATTGGATGCAGGCTTGCTGCGGCTGCTTCGGCGATCCTTCAGGCGCCGAGACCCGCAGCTTGCGCTGGAAAATAAGTGGATTTTGCTGCGGCTGCAGATGGAAGGAGCCGCAGCAAAAGAAGGAGGAGCGAGAGCAGCAGGAACAGCAGCAGCAGCAGCAGCAGTCCTGAAACGGATCCCACTGCAGCGCCCCAGCATCTGAAACCTCCCTGCTAGCTTACTATATATCCCTCGAAAACAAGAAGAGCTACAGCTGAGCTCAAGCTGACAGGCCCCCAAACCCTTCAGACCGCCTCCAGCAGCAGCAGCGGCAGCAGCAGCAGCAGCAACAGCAGCAGCAGCAGCAGGACCTTGTGAACTGAGTGGTCGCTGCAGCAGCTCCTACCCCAACCGTCCACAGCCGCACCATGTGAGTATCTCTTAGATCTGTTCAATTTAAGTTATAAAAATTAAAATAAAACAAATTTCAGAGTTAAGTTTCCCTAAGATGGACAAGAATGAGCCTCGCTGCAGGCGCTGCTGCTGCTGCTGCTGCTGCTGCTGCTTGTAAGGTACCCCAGCAGTCCCTTGGTGACACTACGCTGGCCTGAGTGCTGCAAATAAGAGCATTTATGGTTTGTTTCTTTTTATTTTTTCTATTTTAATTTTTACGGGTCTTTTCGAGCCTCCACACTGAAGCCAGGAGGCATCCTTCTGCTGCACGCATCAGCGCTGCTGCTGCTGCTGCTGCTGCTGCTGTCCCGTTGCTGCAGTGCATGCCGATTCACCTTCTGCATTGGTGCGTAGGTCTGGGCTCTGGTTTTTGCGGCGGGGTTTGGCAAAAGTGACTCACAGGAACCCTCAAGGGTTTAGGGTTTAGGGTTTAGGGTTTGGGGCGGCTGTTTGGGAGCCTGCACCTACATTGTAGGCTGAGCTGCTCTGCAGTTTTGCACTTGGAGGTGAAGATGGGGGTTTAGCTGTCTTACAGCCTACAGTGGGTTAAGTAGGGTTTGCTGCAGCTCTTGAGGGTTTAGATTTAAGTTTTAGGGTTTAGGTTTTGTTAGGGTTTAGGGCGGCTACTTGAGGGCTTTCACTCGCCAAAACCTCGATTAGCGTGTAGGCTAAAACACATCTTAGTTGTGATTTGCGAGGGTTTGGATTTTGCCGTCTTGGGAGCCAGAGTGGGGCAGCTGAAAGTTGCCGTTGCTGCTGCCGCTGCAGCTGCTGCTGCGGCGCTCGCTGCTGGAGCGGCTGCTGCTGTGGCGCTTGCTTGCTGCTGCAGTGGCTGCTGCTGCTGCAGCAGCAGGTGCTGCAGCAGCGCCTCATGTATTGTTTTCTTGTGGAATCTCGAACTAAAACGCCCCTCAAGGGCGGCAGCAGCCGCGGCACTTCCCAGGATTAAAAGAAATTTATGCTGCGCCAATTTTAATTTAAATTATATAAAATGTATTTCTTTATTTATTTATAAATATGTAAAAGGAGCCCCCAAGACACTTTTAAGGGTCTTTTGGGGGGCCCCTGGAAGCTGCGGCGCACTGCAGGAACTTTGAGGCCTCGCTGGGCTGTTCTAGGTGCTGCCGGTGCTGCTGCAGCGGACACGCAGCAGCAGCAGCAGCAGCAGCAGCAGCAAACCCTCCAGGCTTCTGTTTGCTGCTGAACCGGCTGCTGCTGCCCTGCCTTAAAAGGCTTATAAAGTAATGAGAGGGGCACAGAGGCTTTATCTGCCGCAGCTAAATAGCCCCCCTTGCTTCTTAACTGGACGCAGCTAGCTAGGAACAGCTAGCTACAGCCAGCCACAGCTAGCTACAGCTAGCCACAGCTAGCCATAGCTAGCCACAGCTAGCTACGGCTAGCCACGGCTAGCCAGAGGGAGGCGCAAGCAGCCGCTGCTAGCTGCGGCGTGCAGGCGCTCTTTGCTGCCCACAGAGGGTGGAGGCTCTCTGCCGTCGCTGCTGCTGCTGCTGCTGCTGCTGCAGTGCACGGGCTGGCCGTGCAGGCAGCTGCACAGCGCTGGATGTTATAAGCCCCAATTCGGGGCGAAGCAGCACTAGTGCAGCAGGCCCTAAACCCTAAAGCCCAGTGAGCGAGGCCTCAGATGAAGCCTAGGGTTTAGGGTTTAGGATTTAGGGTTTGGAGTTGAGGCTGGATGAGCGGAAACGCTGCAGCCAGACATCTGCGACAAGAGGAAGCAAACAGTCTCAGCTGCTGTCTTCGTTTCTTGCTGCTGCTCCAACTCCCCGTAGTGCCCTGAGCCCGACAAGAGGCACCGCAAATAGACCCGCTGCTGCTGCTGCTGTTGTTGCTGCTGCTGTTGCTGCTGCTGCCGCTGTTGGAAGCTACAAAGAAGTGCTGCTAGTTTTGCTGCATGCCACGGCGGGGTCCTCGTGTCGCTGAGAGTTGTTGTTAGCAGCACACTTGGAAACGGGTAAGGCAGCGGCGTTGCCTGCGGGCGTTGCTGCTGTTCTTGCTGCTGCACTTGTTGCTGTTGCTGCGCTTGCTGCTGCTGCGCCTCGTGCTGCTGCTGTAGCAGCAAGAGTTGCTCGTAACAAGAATAAGCAGCAATGCTGCAGCAATCGGTTGCAGCCTCATCCTTGGCCACAGCTGCCCACACAGCCCATGGGTCGGTCCCGTCCAATGCTGCAGCTCCGCTGCTGCTGCTGCTGCTGCTGCTGCCGCTACACCGTGCATGCATGCAGCCCCACTCTTCAACCTCGAGTTGTGTTAGAGGCATCGAAGGGTCCTCCATGGCGGACCAGACATCGATGAAGGGCCTGTCCAGCAGCAAGCAACGTACCCAAGCCTCTCTTGGTTGCTGCTGCTGCTGCTGCTGCTGTTGCTGCTGCTGCTGCTGGCTGGCTGAGGAGCTTTGGGCTGGCAGAGCCGCGCTGCGCTTGCTGGAGAGCAGCAGAGCAGCAGCAGCAACAGCACCCGCTGATGCTGCTTGCAGCGCTGTTGCCTGCGGGCTGCTGAGGCCTAGCGCATGCAGATAAGAAACAGCAGCAGCAGCATCTGCTGCTGTTTGGGATTTGTGGGGCCCCCTGCCGTCGCTTGCTGCTTCTCCTGGGATATCCCCTCCCCCCCGCGCATGCACGAAGCCAACAGCCCACCCTTGCTGCAGCAGCAGCGCAGCAGCAGCATCGAACGCAGCAGCTAAAGGCTCCTTGTAGGCCCCGTAAACCTGCAGCAGCAAACTGCAGCGAGCAGCAGCAGCGCCACCAACCGACCACGGAAAGCGCAGCAGCAACGGGGAAGACGCCGGAAGTTGCACCAGGATGCTGCAGCTGTTGCTGCTGCCGCTGCTGCAGCTATTGTTGCTGCTGCACTCACTGCTGCTGCTGCTGCCTGTGCTCCTTCTGGCTTCCATGCATGAACTGAAGGCAAGCGTCTGTGCTGCTGCATGCGCTTTTTCTGCTGTGTCCGGCAAGGGATGCAGTTGCTCTTGTCGCTGCTGCTGTTGCTGCTGCAGCAGCTGCTGCTGTAGCTTCTGCTGCTGCTGCTGCGCCTGGAGGCAGGCTGCTGCTGCCTTGGGCAGAATAAGAGTTATTGGTATTACAGCCTGGGCATCTCTCGAAGGGGCGAGCAGAACTTCAACAGCAAACTGAGAAGAAAAAGAGTCGGCTGCCCACTGCTGCTGCTGCTGCTGCTGTTGCAGCCCTTGCGCCCAACGAGACCACCGCCTGATGCGTCCTGATAAGCCTACAGGGCTCATTGTGCTGCTGCTGCTGCTGCTGCTGCACTGACGCTGGCTCCCTGTGACTGCTGCTGGCAAGCTAGCGCACAAAGCACGGATGCGCTGCAGCAGCTGAGCCTGCAACAGCATCACCTGCTGCTGCTGCTGCAGCGAGAGGCTGCAGGAGGGCACATGCAGGCGCACAGAGACTGCAGGGTGCAGCGGCGTCTGCAGCAGCAGCCGCACCACTGCAGCACGTGGATTTGCGTTTGCTGCAGCAGAGAGAAGCCCTGTTCCTCCCAGCGGCAACGAGGCCTGCATAGAAGCAGTGGCTGGCACTGCTGCTGCTGCTGCTGCTGCAGGGCTGTTCCACTTCGCTGCATTTGTGCAAGCAGCTGAAATCAATGGCTGCTGCTGCTGCTGCAGGGGCTGCTCATAAGAGTCCAGCCTGCTTGCTGTTGCTGCCGCCTTCTCTGTGCTTTCAGTAGCTCCTGCACTATCCGCTTCGGTTGCTGCAGCAGCTGCTAGCGCTGCTGCGGCTGCAGCAGTCTTTGCTGCTGCTGCCGTTGCTGCTGCAGCAGCAGGTGGCTTGATCACGAGAAGCATATTGCGAGCTGCCGGCAGCTGCGCGTACACCACAATGCCCTGCTGCATTACGTCAGCATCTCTCACCCGCAGCCCCTGCCCCCTGTAGAGCAGCAGCAGCGGCAGCTGCTGCTGCTGCTGTTGTTGTTGCTGCTGCTGTTGCTGCACATGCCCCCCTTCTTTCTCTGCAAATCGCTCGTGGGTAGGGCGCTGCTGACAGGAAGTGTTTGCCGGGTGTACAGACGCCAGGGCACCTTCGTGCTGCTGCTCAGGTTCTGCTGCTGCTGCTGCTGCTGCTGCTGGCGCTGCTGCTGCTGCTGCTGGCGCTGCTGCTGCTGCTGCTGGCGCTGCTGCTGCTGCTGCTGCTGTGAGGGCAGCCTCAAGAAATTGCTGCTGCAGTGCGTAGCAGCGAAATTCACCAGAGGGGCAGCAAATAAATAAGTAGACGAAGGCAGACCTGCATTGCGGCGAACCCTGAAGAGTGTCGTATCTTAAGCCGTAAGCGGTAAACCCTAAACCCTAAACGCTAAACCCTAAACGCTAAACCCTAAACCCTAAACCCTAAACCCTAAACCCTACACGTGATATGGTGCTTGCAAAGGCTTTAACTCAGTTTCAGCACTTGGGGAGTACTTACACAGACTCGAAGAAGTGAGGAGTTCCACAAAAAAGCAGCCGAGGAGTCCCATAAGGGTCTTTCTCTCTGAAGCAGCAGCAGCAGCAGCACAGCAGCAGCAGCAGCAGCACTGAAGAGCAGCAGCAGACGCGCGTGAAGTTCGCCCCAGTTGCAACTGCAGCTACTCCCGGTTTGCCTTTGCAGCACCCAAGGCAGGTGCAGCAGCAGCAACAGTCGCACGAGGAGGAGCAGCTGCAGCAGCAGCAGCAACAGCAGCAGCAGCAAGCCATACCGAAGCGCCCAGGTGTACGTACAACTCCTGTTCGTTGCTGTGAAAAAGATGTATTGTTTGTCTTTGCTCAGTCCCACGTCATAGTGAAGTGCCGAGCCTGCAGCAGCTGCAGCCGAGCCTGCCTGCAGCAGCAGCAGCAGCAGCAGTAGCAACGGCAGCAGCAGCAGCAAGGGCGTGGGGTCGAAGGAGGCAGCAGCAACAGCACCCATATAAAGGCTGCAGAAAAACTGCAGGATGAACTGCCTGGGCAAGAGCACCACCCAGCCAAACTGCAGCAGCACCAGCACCAGCAGCAGCAGCAAAAACGGCAGAAGCGCAGCAGCAGCAGCAACTCGCTCTTACAGGGGGCAGCAACAGCTGCTTCTCCCGTAACACAAACGGAAAAGTCCACCTCAGCTGCGTTGTCTTCTCACAATCAGTGAGAATGTTGACTTCGCATTGTACTGCTGCTGCTGCTGCTGCTGCTGCAGTGTATGTTGCTGCTGCTGCTGCTGCAGCTGCAGGGGCCAGCCGCCAAGGACTGAAGCAGAGGCGAACAACTCGGGTGGCCCTTAGAGTTTTGCTGTCAACCTCCGACGCAAAGAGCACAAACGGCTGCGCAGCAGTAGCAGCAGCAGCAGCAGAAGCAGAAGCAGCAGAAGGACAAAGGGGGGCTTTAGCAGTATAGAAGCTTTCAGCTGTACCCCCGGCACTGGTGAAGTCTGCTACTGCTGCTGCTGCTTTTTGTGTTCTGGCTGCTGCTGCTGCCATTGCTGCCGGTGACCCTGCTGCTGCAGATACTGCTGCTGCTGCTGTTTTTGCTGCGGCTGGATCCTGTGCTGCAGCTGTTGCTGCTGCTGCTGCATCAGCAGCACAAAATTCGATGCCAGAGACATCCCTCACATCTGGGGCCGCAGGCAGCCACTCCCAAGGGGATAGCAGGTGCGGCGGCTGTCTTTCTCTGCACCAGCTGCTGCTGCTGCACCTCGTGCTGCTGCTGCTGCTGCTGCCGCAGCTGCTGCTGCTGCTACACTGTTTGCTGCTGATCCGCAGCAACGCCAGCGGCCTGTCTGCGCCTTCCGGGTCAACTGAAATACCAACAACGAGTCCTCTGTCTCCCCACACCCTCATGCTGCGCAGCACAGGGATTGCTGCTTGCTGCTGCTGCTGCTGCTGCTGCCGCTGCTGCTGCTGCAGCTTGAACGCACCAAGGTCCAGAATCTGCTCCTCTCCCTCCAGCAGCAACGCAGTGGCTTCCTGCTGCAGCAACAGTTCCGTATCTCCGCCCCTCTGCTGTTGCAGCAGATCGAACAGCGACTCCAAAGGCTGCTGCTGGTGCTGCTGTTGCTGCTGCTGCTGCTGCTGCTGCTGTGGAAGGGGCTTGCGGCAGAGGACGGCGCATTCAGAGCAGAAGGGGGAAGGCCGGCAGTAATAGGCGAAGTCGCCCAGGACGTCAACGGGGATTTGTGCTGCTGCTGC